AAAACTTAAAGCCCTGCCCCAGGCATGGTGGCTCACGACTGTAATCTCAGACCTTTGGGAGGCCGAGGCGGGTGGATCACGAGGTCAGGAGATCGAGACCAGCCTGGCCAACATGGTGAAACCCCATCTGTATGAATATACATATATGTGTGTGTATATATATGTGTGCGTATATATATATATATATATATTTATATATATATACACACACATAGAGAGAGAGAGAGAGAGAGAGAGACTTTTTTTGTTGTTTTAACTAAAGCTCTGCACAGAGCCCCCTGGGCCTTGACCTTGCCCCAGCCCCTTGCAGTCCCATCCTTTTCCTGTGGGGTCTGCAGCGCACCCGCCCTGCTCTCTCTGCTCTTGGTCCCTCTGGCCCCAGCCTGCCACCCACCTCACACCCTGGGACTTGGGGACGTCGTCTCATGTGCCCCCCTTCACCAGGCCTGTTTCCTCACCTGTCAGGGGCACTTCCACATATGGGCTGGATGGGTGGGGACCACCCTCGTCGCAGGCCTGGGAAGCGCAAGGCCTGGCCTCTGCATCCACCTGCCTGTTGGGGACACCGGGTCTGCATCAGGAGGGCCGCAGGCTCCGCAGGGAAGCCACCCAGCTGTCAGAGGGAGTGGTTGAGGCCGTCATGGAGACAGCCCAGAAACAAGCCTCAGGCTGCCGCAGACGTCAGAGCTGGGCCCAGATGGCCAGGCAGCCCAGGGCTGCCCAGGTGCAGCCGTTGTACCAACCGTCACCACAACAAACAGAGGCTCTCGGCGGCCACTGGCAACCCACGATAAGCCCGCCTGTTCCAGCTCCCAGCACGGAGTGTCCTGGGGTGTCCTCCGTGTATCCCAGCATAGCATCTCCCAGGCAGGGGTGAGGAAATTGAAACTGACCAGAATTCAGCCACTGACCTGAGGCTACCCACAGGTAAAGAGGAGCACCCCCAGACTAAGACACAACTCCCACTGGCCGTGGCAGCTCTGTCCTATCTCCTCCCACGTACACCCCGCTAGAGCCCCGACCCTTGAATGAGCCATTCCCTGAATGAGATACCTTCTTTCTCACCGCAGGGCCTTCATGCATGCCCTTCCCTCTGCCTGAGATGTTCTTCCCTGTCACTCTGTCCTAGCTGATGCATGCTCCTGCCTTTCACCCATTCAGAGAGGCTGCCTGACCGCATAGGCTCCAGTGACTGGCTCTCCCTGTGGCCTGCCAGCTTCTCTGCTGTGGAATCCCATAGGCGGCCGTTCTGCAGTTACCATCTCAGAGAGCCAGTCAGCAGCTCACCTGTGAGCACTCACTCTGGAGCCTCCGCTTGGGCTCAACTGCAACTCTGCCCCTTCCTAGCTGTGTGCCCTCAGACAAGTGGCTTCACTTCTCTGAACATATGTGAAGTAGCGACTACAGCCCACCCTCCCAGGGTTATCAGCACCTTGCCCTAACAGCGCCTGGTGCATGGCGATTAGGTGAGGCCATCTGGACGTGCACAGCTCCAGAGATAACACCAC